AGCTGGCCAGAGCAGTAGTCAAAACATGAAGAAAATCAATGTGTGATTGTCTGTTGATTATGTGGTGTGTAGCTAAAACATTCTAACACGACCTCTAGTGACATGTCATGACATTAAACATAAGAAAATATTATGGCTATGGCTACAGTTATACACGTGAGAATAATAATATTAAACATCCTGTCTTCTAACAGTCATCAACTTTCTATCTAGTTATTCTTGACCATAAGCAACCTGCAGCACTCATGAAAATGCCTAAGCATTTAACAGCCTAAGCTAGACATCCTGTCTACTCTAAACATTTCTAATACATCAAGTATCTAACCAACATCTATCTGACTAAAAATACCTAACAAGTTGTTCTTTACATTACAAGTGTTGCTGCAGCTTTTCGCTTTTAATGTGAATATCACAAATGTTTCATTTTCTAATAACCAGTGCTAAATATTTCCTGTAGAACATGGTAAACATACTTCATTTTTCCAGAAAGACAGATTTTTAAATCTGATATTGAAATGGGTTACAAAATGCTAGCCACCTTATAACATCATGACTTTGGCTTGTGCTGGCTCTAAAGTTAGGTGAAATACAAACAGTGAATTTACAGAGAGGTGGACTCATTACCGTTGAAATGTTTGTTTATCTCATATTGTAGATTGCCTATTTTAGCTCTTAAAATAAAAACATCCCGTTTCTACTGTGTACCACCAGTGCTCCAGGTCACCCTGATAGAACTTCAGAATATTGAATAGCTGATCATCAACTCAGCTCATTGGAATTTAGCAGCCATTTTTCCATCACTATTGTTTCACACACTAGTTTGTCTTTATGATCCTTAACAGAACACAAGGGTTAAGCTCTTTCTGAGAGTTACACAGAATGTTCCATCTGCACTTTATGAGAAACAAGCAAGAAGAGGCACTGATGGACTTCATTAACTTTATCGCTGCCTCTTTGCCGAGTGCCGTTGATGACTTGAACAGAGATTTATCCTCCCTCTGTCTGTCTGCTTTTAAGTCGATTTGAGATCCCCACTGAGAGCCATGGGAGTGGCTGTCAGAGTGCTTGACTAGGAGCCATGAGAAGCCTGCATGACATGAGAGGTGCTCTGAGTACTGTGAGTGGTGGGCCAACAAGCTGCTCTGAATAATATCACATTTATTTAATGCAGTAGATGCCTAATTACAGCTCTTCGTATATTTTCAATCCTCTCTCCCTCATAGCGCTGCAAGGTAAAACGCTGGTTCAGGAATTCAGTGACTCCCAGTACGAACAGACATGGACATACACATTTCACATTCACAGAGTTTATTTTCATCTTGGCTCCTGCTTTAATGAACACTTTCTGTTTCTTGTGGTGACCTAGTCACCCTGTGTTCAAAATTTAAAAAGAAAGGTGTTAGCATGTGTGTGTGCTCTTTTGCATGTGTGTCTGAGAAGTGTTTTTCCACTTGAGTCAGCAAACCTTGAGCATAATTAAAAGGTTTGTTTTTTTTCATCAGCAGTTTTGTAAATTGGAGAAAAGGTATGTTGCTTTCTCAGAGGGATGAATGATTGAGAAGTTAAGTTGCACTATATTCTATTGGGAAAGTGCTTGGTTTCTTGTCTTACTAGGTTGATTTCCTGTTTTCTGTCATGCTGTCTGATATGTGTTTATGTGTTTTAGGTTGGGCTACGTGGACCATGCTGAGGAGTTGGCTTCCAGGTTCCTCCAGTGCTTCCCAAAGAACCGGCTGTCAGCCCAGGCAGCGCTGAGCCATGAATACTTCAGCAACCTTCCTCCACGGCTCTGGGAGCTGCAGGACAGTATGTAACCCAACATAGTCACTTTTCAGCCCCTTTTGTTCTTTCAGTTGTTGCCATTGCTCAAAAGCCACACCAATATTACTTCTGGTTTTACTTCTGCCTGAGAATCTCTGCATTTTCAGAGTTTCAATATCAAAATAATACAGTGATTGTTGTCCATAAATGTAAAACAAACAGAGATAATGTAATTATCTGAAGTTCTACTGAGCTACAGGCCTGCTTTGACTACAAAGACTGAGAGTGTATTTGACAATGTAGCTACAGACCTGGTCGAACTCACTGACACTGTCATATCTTATATCAGTTTCTGTGGGGATGTATGTGTGCCCAAAAAGTCCTTCTGCACATACAACAACAACAAGCCCTGGTTCACAGCAAGACTCAAGCAGTTTCGCTGTGCCAAAGAGGAGGCTTACAGAAGTGGGGACAGGACTCTGTACAGCCAGGCCAGGAACACACTGACAATGGAGATCAGAGCAGCAAAGAGGAGCTACTCTGAAAAGCTGAAAGCTCAGGTTTCAGCCAACGACTCCTTGTCTGTGTGGAGAAGCCTGAAAAGCATCACTGGCTACAGGAAACCATCCCCCCTACTGTGGAAGACCGTCAAGTAGCAGACGACCTGAATGTGTTCTACTGCAGGTTTGACAAACAACACCCCCCCTTACCCTCCCCACCTCAGACCCAACAGCTACTCCCCTGATAATCACCATCCTTCCCTCCAGCTCCCCACCTCTAACGATCTGTGAAAAGGATGTGCGTGGCCTTTTTAAAAACAAAGGATCAGAAAGGCACCAGGCCTAGATGGCGTGACCCCCTCCTGCCTGAAAGTGTGCGCTGATCAGCTGGCCCCCACCTTCACACTCATCTTCAACAGGTCACTGGAGCTGTGTGAAGTGCCCTCCTGCTTCAAACGTTCCACCATCATCCCAGTCGACGATGCAATTAACATGACACTGCATTACATCCTGCAACACCTCGACTCCCCAGGGTCCTATGCACGGCATTCAACACCATTATCCCAGACATCCTCCACTCCAAACTGACCCAGCTTACTGTGCCTGCCCCCACCTCTCAGTGCTTTCTAGCTTTCTGACAGACAGGAAGCAGCAGGTGAGGCTGGGGAAAACCACATCCAGCACACTGACAATAAGCAGAGGCGCCCCCCCCCCCCAGGGCGTAGCTACAACAACCTGGAGCTGAACACGCTCAAAACAGTGGTGATGACAGTGGACTTCAGGAAGAACCCCCCCACCTTACCCCTCCCCTCACCATACTTGGCAGCACTGTATCCGTAGTAAAGCCCTACAAGTTCCTGGGCTTCACTACCTCCCAGGACCTGAAGTGGACGTCCAACATCGGGACCATCACCAAGAAAGCACACCAGAGGATGTACTTACTGCACCAGCTCAGGAACTTTGACCTGCCCCAGGAGCTGCTGATACAGTTCTACAGAGGAATCATCGAGTCCATTCTCTGCACCTCCATCAGTGTCTAGTTTGGCTCAGCAACCAAACAGGGCAAGTACAGACTTCAGTGGACAGTCAGGACTGCAGAAAAGGTCATTGGTGCAAGCCTGCCCTCCATGGAAGACCTGTACACCACACGGGTAAAAAAGGAGGGCAGAGAGGATCACTGCAGACCCCTCACCCGGGACACAATCCGTTCGAACTCCTCCCCTCCTGACGGCATTAAAGGTCACTGTACGCCAAGACAACCAGGCACAAGGACAGTTTCTTCCCCTGGGCCATCACGCTGATGAACACTTGACCCACTACAGTATGACTGGACAATAACCCTCAGTGCAATACTTGTAAATATACATTGTACAGATTATACAGATCTGTACAGGTCTCTATTTTTAAGTACTCTATTTTTATTCCTATTTATCTCATTTCAATGAGCATTCCTTTGTCTTGTCTGCATTGTTTACTGCCTGTTTATACTGCTTATTTTGCATTGTTTGCACTGTTTGTTGCTTGTGTAGCAGCCTTCTCACTCTACCTAGGAGGGGCACCAACTAGACGAGTTAGAATGAGGGGTGCTTGGGTTCGTTTAACCAAAATTAAAATTGATAACCCCTATAACTAGTAATGAGGACTTGTAGTATGGTGCTTGAGGAAGGAAGATAGACCCAGCGATGGCTTAACCCGAGTGATCATGGGCCTCTTGGCTGCATCTCTGATCAGTCTTCTCCTTGTATGAGCTGAAAGTTTAGCGGGACGGCCAGGTCTTGGTAGATTTGCAGTGGTCTGATACTCCTTCCATTTCAATATTATCGCTTGCACAGTGCTCCTTGGGATGTTTAAAGCTTGGGAAATCTTTTTGTATCCAAATCCGGCTTTAAACTTCTCCACAACAGTATCTCTGACCTGCCTGGTGTGTTCCTTGTTCTTCATGATGCTCTCTGCACTTTAAACGGACCTCTGAGACTATCACAGTGTAGGTGCATTTACTCACGACACTCTTGGGGTTATCGTTGCAGGCCTGGTCCACACAATTTGAGTGCGATGCAATGTGATGTCCTCCCCAGTTGGGTGCGGTGCAATATGGCGTCCTCACAATTGGAGTCCAATGCCAAGTGAAGCCCTCCCCAATTGAGTGCGTCGAACCACGAAAACTTTACCTATTACCCGAACCTCAGAGTACGTTGCGAAAGAGATTACTCTCTCTCAGAGTCTCCTTTGGTAAACCACTATCTAAAACTTCGCCCCACTAACCCAGTCGGGCTCTCACCAGAGCCGGCTAGCACGGCTCAAGCTAAACGCCGCTCACTCTCCTCAAAGTCAGCTTACTATTTCCGCCTCACAGCTCCCACACGGCAAACCGGCTGGCTCCGCTGGCGAAACCTTGCCACAGTCTCCGTGTCTGGCCCTGGGCAAAGTTCTCCGTCTCTTTTCAGTCTCTTTTTTTCTTTTCCCCTCTTCTCTCCCTCTTCCCTCTCTCCTCCTAGACACTTCTTTTTTCTCCTTTTCTTTTTTTCACCCCTCTTTCCCCCCCCCAATCACACCAGGTCACACAGATTGCCAGATTCCTTCGACCAATCACATTACTATGACTGCGTAAAGAGGGTGAACCTATTGTGGTAACCAATACAGCTCTCCCAGAATTGGCATTTACATCCCAAATACAATTAAAACTGTAACTGTTCCACAAATAAAATTAAAACTGTAGCCGTAACAACACAAGCCATAGTCATTTGTAAAAAGTATCAGCCCAGTATGTGCCAACGAGCTACACTTGTTAATACTGCTTATTTGTTGAATTACAAGCCTTATGCTGGTTTACTGTTTACTTGCCCCTTGCATGGGAATATGTACATACACATTGAGAGCCGATGTACCAGAGTCAAATTCCTCGTGTGTCCGACACACCTGGCCAATACAGCAGATTCTGATTCTGATTCTTTGATTCGGGAGTGGGACCTGACCCAAGCTACACCTTGTCTGTTTTCACACTATTTAACCCACTCAAACTTCCATACTTCCACTTCCGCTTATAGGCGGATCGCCCGCTGTATGTGTGGCTGCTCTCCTAGTTTTGTCTGTTTGTTTGCCTCTCTGACGCCATGTTCTTTGCTGTTCCATCACTGGATCATCTTCTCTACCATTTTTTGGGGTTTGTGCTAACGGTCCCACTCCACCATCTGCAGGGCCTTCCACGTTTGTCACACCGTAGGCCAATGTTAGGTAATTTCTTAGTTAGATAGATATTGATTA